GCCAATGACACAACAGAGGAAGCGGTGTTTATGAAGTATGATCCATTTATCAAGATTTGTCCTGCTTTCTCCAATGTCAATCACATCCCTGATCTAACATGTATCCATATTTAATAAATGTGCTATCTGAGCTCATGATTAGTGATGTTTGTTTTTGATGTTTCAGTCGGAGAGACGAACCTTACTGGAACAGCAACAAGAAAATGCAGTCGGATTCTGATGTCCGTTTAAACCAAGGCTCAAACTTCAACCGGCAGCAGAACCGTTTTTCAAACTTCAATCCAAGAGAGAGAGGTCGCTTTCCAGAGGCCTCCACAGAGCAGCCCAACACATACGACAGGTATAACTGTTTCATTATTATAGGGGCCCATTTCATAGACATTTGACATGTTATAGTAGTATAGCTGTGCGAGAGATGGCCTAATTACTTTAGTTACTTTAGTTTTGGGGCACTTGATGCTCTATGGTAAGTTTTTTTTTTTTTTTTTTTTTTTTCTCAAGGGACTAGGGCTCCTTTACTTTTCATGTCTCACAATGACCTGCCTGATTCCTCCGTCTCCTGGTAGCTGTTTTTTGTTTAAATAACCGAAGATATTGTTAGATGTGCAGACATTACTTGTCGATCTACGGGGCATATCAAACTGAAACAAATTGAACCCTGTTTTTGTCCTTACTCATGGAAAGCTCACTGTCTCAAGATCTACATCAACAACTGAAAAGAACAGAGCCTTTCTTTATATTATTGGTAACATCCACAAAATGTGTGGCTCATAAGTGATGGTTTTGAAAAAGGCTCAGCCTTTTGTTGGGTAAGGAGGCAAAATTATCCATTTAGTAGTGAATTTTTATTAACTCATATTTAAAGTGTCTCAATCCCCAGAAAGATCAGTGTGTGGGATTTAGTCAATAGTGGCACCTAGCGGTATGTTGCAGATTGCAACAGACAACTGCTCCCCCTCCAAGCATGTAGGACTGAAATGTGTGAAAAGATGCCTGTGGTCTGGTTTGTCTGTTTGGGCTCCTATGTAACATACAGTCTCTGCTGAGAGACCGCTCCCTCTGTAGTAAATGAGAGCCTGCTCTGAAGTAACCAAAAAGACTGATTACAGGGTCATCCAGTGGACAAAGATTTAGACTTTCTGTTGTATTATTATTTTTTTGGTCAGCTGTACTTGTGTTGTGTGGCCCAGGTCTCATTGTGTGGCTCTTTTTTTTTTTTTTTTTTTTTTTTTTTACAATTTTAATTTTTTGTGACGTTAATAATCTCGTTTCTGATTCTCTTTAGACGTAGCCGGTTTGATGGTGAGCCAGAGGTGAAGAAGAGCCGCCCTGCTCCACACAGAGAGGGCTCTGGCTTTGATCGTTTCCCTAAGAACTTTGAGACAGTTCGCAGAGCTGAGCCGCCACCTCCAACACGCACAGAACTCCGGGACACTGACCGTCGGGAAAGAGATGAGAGACGACTTGTGCCCATGCATGATCGCCAAATGGGAGCCAGAGCTACGATGACCGGAATGTCACACAACCGCTCACCCAGGGATGGCGGTCACGGATGGAAGAATGATGGTGGGATAAACACTAACAAGGGAGACCTACGGTAAAAACCATGAAGATTCTGAAGAAGCATTGTCAGTTGACTTTTTTCCGCTTTTTTTAATTGACAGCTAATTTTGTATTTCAACCTTTCTTGAGCAGAGGACCCATGCGCATGCGTACGGATAGACCAGGCAGGGACGGTCCAGGCCCCTCCCTCAGGGGAGGCTCCTCACTCAGGGGTGGCTCCTCCCTCAGGGGAGGCTCCTCACTCAGGGGGGGCTCTTCACTCAGGGGGGGCTCCTCACTCAGGGGAAGCTCCTCACTCAGGGGAAGCTCCTCTAGCGGTCGTGGAAGGAGCAGCTTTAATGACCGAGATGGAGGAAGATCCATGGTGATGAGTGATCAGGTCAGTTTACTTTCTGAGTGAGGGTTTGAGCTAATCTAGGTCATCCATATCCCAATGTCCCCAAGACATGCTTCAAGTTTACAAAACTAATTGGTGTCATCTAGCCAACTAAGGCACAAGTTTTAAGTCTTAAAAATTATAAGAACATCCAGATATGGAAATTAATATTTGGGGGAAAATATACCACTTGAACAAATGCAATCCTATCATCAAAATTACGCATATTTAATAACTACAGGTGCATGAGATTCTTAAACATTTTAAAGTGACCAAAGAAGCATTGTACTTCCTTTTAAAACACATTCAGCTCTCAAACAAGCAAACGCTCTTACAGCTATAGGGTACGGAATATTATAAGCTGAGGCTGCATGAGAGAATAACATGCAGAACCAGTTCAGTTGTTTTTCTTTTTTTTTTTTTATGATCGAGAGCCCGCTCTCAGTCAAACACAAAGCACGGAGTAGAGGGAGAGAGAGCGCATGCGAGAAAGAGCTTGGTGGTATTTAATTAAGGTTTTATGCTGCGAGACAGTGTTTGATTAGTGTATTTTGTTATGTGTCCATACATACAGTATAAGTAATCGAAATCAGGTAGGGAGAGTTGGGAATGACATGCGGGAAAGGAGCCACAGGTCGGATTCGAACCTGGGCTGCCCGCTTTTGAGGGCCATAGCCTCCATAAATGGGGCGCGCACACTAACCAATGCGCCCCTAATATGTGTGTTTTGTTTTATTTGTGTTTTTTTTTTTTTTTGAATATTCAAAAGACATTCCTGGTACTATTGCAAATAGACAATATGTCACACATTTTCAGTGCATTGTGATTAATACATGAACATAATGGCACATTGAGTAGAGCTTATGGTATAGGATGTGTGTGTATATATAGTACACGCAAAGACTGCTAATCTTAAGTAGTATCTATCAAATAAAAAGTACAAAGATGTAATCATTCCAGTCTTTTTGATAATATGTTGATTTTAATACATTTTGGACTCTGAACTGTTTGACAAAACCAGCAGTTTGAAGATGACATTGGGGGTGGGAATGTGTTTAAGCAACTACAGGTAATTGATGAAATGGTAATACAGTTTGTGTAACATAAGCAAAACATTACTACAATTCATGGAAGAGTGGCTCCTGACTCTAAACCTCTCATGTCTCTGCAGCCCTTCAGCTCTGGTCGACAGGTGGTGGTGGAACGTCACAGCAGGGAGCAGGGGCTGAGGAAGGAGTGGCACAGTGGCTCGAGCTCCCAGGGTAGGGGCTACCCTGATAACCGCAGAATGGGAGACACCAGGGGCAGCATGATGACTCCTTCCAGGTATAAAAAAATGTAAAATGTGTAACATCTGAAAAGTTTCAGCCTTGTTCTGAGCTGTCTTAACACCGTGACTTGTTTCTCTTTCTGCAGTCATTCATCGTCGGGGCTGAACCGTATTGTACAGATCACCAACAACTCCATTCCCAGCGGTGGCAACGTGGGTGGATTTAAGCCCTACAAAGGAACGCCACGGCAGTACTAACTGAAACCAAATCCTGCCACTTTAAAGCACCTGAAAAATTTGAAGACTTTTCTGAACTTATTTTTAGAATATCAACAGTTTTAGGTGGTATGTTTTTATTTTGTATAGACGTGTTGACCTCAGTGTAGGTTTTTCCTGACAGTTCTGCTGTTACATTCAAACAACCTCCTGCACATGTTTTACTTCTCTTTAGCAAGATATTGTACAGCGCTATGTCTTTGTAACAATACGTTTTCATTTGATGTCTCCTCTTATTGAGTGTTGAATTTTTTTTTTCAATAGCGGAGTATCACACTCAGTTTCCTTGTGTAATATGTTTTATTTGGTGTTTTATGGCACTCAAAGTGCAAGGGATCATCACTTGGTTTGATGTTTCTCTGAGGAAGTTGATGACATAGGACTCGTGTGTATTTGAAAGTCATACTTTGTTTTGATGTTGTATTTTGTAACAACTAGTTGAACTTCCTTAAATGTCAAACTGAAGCCTGCATTGTAGCAAAATACCTACCATTGACCATTAGTTGGATTGAAATAAATTTTGACTTTCAAGTCCGTTACTGCAGGACTTTCAAAATGGTTTCAGGTCTTAAGGGTGTCTTTTTTTTTTTTTTTACTTTTTCTCCCAATTGTTTAAAAATTGGATAAAACCTGCTAGTCTACTAAAGGCTGTATTTTGGTTTAGTCGGCTGTGTCGAGACACGAAGGTAATTTTCAAAATCATTTAACCCTCTTAAAAGCACAAAAATCTGCATTTACATTTCAAAAGGTTTCAGGAAGTGAACATTGTTTCTGCAGAGTAAGGCATCACCAGACACTTCCATCTTGCTTTCCCTTGTTTTTATTGATTGTTTTTTAATTTGACAGTTTTTTGTCTCTTTAAATTTGGACCACCATGCATCTTGTGTAATGCATGTACTGTGCTAACACTTTCATTCATACACCTGTCAGACTCTGTGGATTAAGTTTCTTTAAAAGCAGAGAACAGTGAAACACAGTACAACTGAGGAAAGCAGCCTAGCTTGTGTCAAGTTGCCTTTAGTCGGTTATAGAAATACTATAATAATTAAAGAAACATCATTTAGTTCCAATTGTGACAACCCATAAGCATTAATTCAATACAAGTCAATTAATCAGTGGCTGTGACTCAGTGGTAGTCGGTCGTCACGCAACATAGTTTGTGGGTTCTATCTCCAGCTCCTGCAGTCACATATCGAAGTGTCCTTGGGCAATCCACTGAAACCCAAATTACTCCTGCTGTGTCAGCAGCATGCAGATGTGCATGAATGTATTAGTTAAAACTGATTGCAGCCTCTGCCATCAGCATGTGGTGTGAAAAGTACTTCAAGAAAAGCACTTTACAAGTTAAGTGTCTCAGTACAGTTGCATCTTCCTTTTTCTTTTTTTTTAAAGCAAACTATTCTCAAAACCCTCATAAGTTGCAAAATGTTTACACTCAAGTCAAAGATGAACCTAATCAATCTAAATGGATATCATAACACCTGAAAAAGCTCACAACAAATGACGACAAAGCACTTATTAATCTTAGACTTTTATTATCCTGGTACTTCTAATCAGGTTGAATGTCCCTCGTCTATAAGGCATTTTGTTATATATATATCACCACATACATTATGTGACTGTAATGTGAAAGGCTACATACATTATTTGGTCATTTATGTAAATAGATGAACATTGAAACAACACAAATGAGTAACCTCCCATATTCACAAACATTGTTTTGCTTGTATGTTTTATGTGAAATATAAACACAATGGGCCGTACAAAGGAAATAAAATTCTTTCGGGAATCGATAATAAAATGTAAGTCCACTCTACATGCACCACAAAGTAAAATCTGGGAGTCTTGATATTTTGCATGAAAGAAAATGTCTCCCTTTAGATTGTGCAGCAGTCTGGATGTGTGTCTCCTACAAAAAGAATGAACATTTCCCTCCTGTGCTACATAGATGACGACACTCGAGCCTTATGGAGGAGCCTTCTTGCCTGTTTTGGTGTAAAAGTTTGAGCGTAGTTAAAACATGGACTCTGGAAAAATAACCTGAATTAGGGGTGCACCTACACCTTTTTTGCTGAGCGGGCCGTGTACCAGTGTTGTCTCATTATTTTATTTTGTACAAAAACTGCTCTTGTTTGGACAATTCAAATAGCATGTTTTAATATTGTAATTCATCTCTTCCTGATTGATGAGCTGCATGCTGGTTCTCAGGCCTCTGCACTTTTGGCTTTTTGCCTGGTATAGGTGTACCACTAACCTGAATATATCAAATTGCAGCAAGTTCTATTGAAGTGGTTCTATTGTTAACAGATGTACTCTTTCATTTTAAACCAAAACAATTAAACAGCCCTTTCACACTTTTACAAGTTCATATTACTCAGCTTGCTAAATCTACCACCCCCAAGTTCAGATCATTCTTGTGGCCATTATTCAGTTCTTCAAAGATACCCGAAGAACAATAGCACTCCTGCACAATTTATGTTCTGTATAAAATGAGGTATGTTTCTCTTCTGTTAGTGCATATCAATGTAACAGTGCAAAAACCAATTACAACAACTACTTTTTTTCCCCCAACGACCACCTTGTCAAAACACTAGTTTTTTTTTGTTTTTTTTTACAGTATTTACCCCACCATCACTTTTACAAGGCATACAAGCAACCACTTGGAGACACTGAAAACACGATATCTTTCTGATCAATTCACCTTAGGAACTAGGGTGAAACAAACACGCTACAACAAAAATGTTCAATCTGGTAGTAATGACTAGGGATAGAAAGCTAATGCACAGTAGTACATCTGAAATAATAATTATATTAAAATTGTGTGGCATGTGACACTGCACTCTTTTCACTCATATTAACACCTAAACACATACATTTCCAGATCAGCTCAAACTGGCCCATGTGAAGTTTCCTTTCTCAGCATTTTCACTTCAAGGAGCCACAACATAAATGACGTGAAACTTAAAACTAAATAAAAGCATTATGTTGCCAGAAAGTCTCCCCTCTACCTTCTCGCTCATACCTTATAAATATGTGTTATTTATATCAGCAGCATGGGGAAAAAACTGCTTAGAATTCAATGAAAAGTGTCCATAATTAATTAACAATTCTTCCTTAACTCTATCTATAGAGGCTTTTATTTTTCATCAAGTAGTCCAAGTTAACACGAGAAGAGCAGCTTAGTTCTAGTGTTAAAATCAACAAGCTGCTGCTGCTGCCTGCTCCTGTGCTCCCAAGCGTCAACAAAGTTACATGGATACATAGATTATTCAAAATGTGACGGACAAAGTGAGGACAGGCCGAGGAACTGTGCCGGTACATAAAAGACACTGGAGGATTTTTGTTCCTTCAGAAGAGGCCTGAGAGTATTTCTGATGTTCATGTGGAAACACGGGGATTGTCTCAGTCTGAAAATACGCCTGTTATCTTTTGTCCTATAAAGTATGTTGAAATGTATTAAGGCGATTTACATGTTTATAGTATATGTACAAAAACAAAGCCTTAGAGCGACACAAACATGATGCCCGTAACAAAGGCTTCCCACACAATATGAAGGCCTGCTGCCTACATGTCACTGACCTGTCCTGACTTTTGTTCTTGCTGAACAAAAAGTAACAGATACCCCTTTACAAGCAATCTCCTCACACATGTTGTCCCTCAGTCTGTAACAGAAGGCTTGAGTCAAGGCATCCAATTGGAATGTATAGATAGAAAAGTTTCTCAGGAGGCAGTCCCATGGTACGATAATGGCACAGGCCATTATAAGAATGCGTTAGGGAAATATGTACATCATGTGTTTGAACTTTCAAGAAGCTGCAGTGAAATGCACAAAAGTCAAAAGGTGATACCAAACAATATCAGTTTCAGGATACATAACCCCAGGACAGATCCGTTTGTCAATATCAACCTTTAGGCCTCACTGTCTTAACATATATCGGACATGTTTTATGTAAAAGTGTTGAGGACAAGGAGTGAAGCATCAACTTAGCACGGCTGCAGCTTAAAACCTAATCACTGTTGTATATCTTGAAGTCACAGATTTGCAGTTTGGCTGTGGGAAAAGTTTCTCAAATATTTCATGAGCTTTTTTTTCTCCACGTTTAGAGTAATATTACAAGCAAAAGACAGAATTTTGTGGCATGTCTCTCAAAAACTTTGCTGCAGTGAAACTCTAACATATAAAAACTAAGAAAGGAGTTAATGATAGTGCCTGTGAAAAGGGGGGAAAAAAGGGCCTCCCAGAACCACCTTATACTCTCAGGGTTGATCTCCTACCAATATACAGACTCGGACACATTTCCTCAGTTCAATCCTGCAACATAATTCTCAGCTTGACTGTCCCAAGAATGTTTTTCTGAAAAACAAAAAAAGACATTTAATGTCTCCAATTTGTAGCTTAAGCACTACAAAAAATTGGCTATTTCCAAAATGAAATCTGTTACATCAGTGATGCTAAGTAAATGAGACATGTTTAAACATGCTGTTATACCACATAGCACACATGTACTGTACATACCACACACATTCAAACAGAGCAGAATACAACACCGCCATACTCTGGTAAGGCAAATCTGAACAGGGCAAACTGTGATGAGTACTGTCACTGTAGCCACAGTATCTGGCATCTATCTGGTGTTAATTCACCCTTCAGAACATAGTGTTTCACAGGGGAAAACATACTGTTACAATGATTTCTAACAGAGAAAACCCCTCTCAGCTCACAGAAGAAATAAACCTCTCCCAAAATATTCCTCTTACATGGATACAAACTTAAAATGTGAATCTTGGCATCAACAGCTTACTTAAAAAAACTCAACTGAAACCAAAAGATTGTGTCTTTCCATATATATACGTTTTGTAAATATTGATAAGTACAACAAAAAGCTTATAAGCTGCAAAAAATGAAAATGAATGAAATTAATCATTTAAAAAATGTTGAGTGTGATGTTTTGTTTCTTCAGATTGTGTCTTGCTATAAAACATACCACCCCACATCACAAATATAGTGCACTGTGCAACTTGTAACAAAGTTTGGCTGACTCTATGAAAGATACAGGGGTAGTTGTCGTTGTAGTGTCCCTTCCTCTGGTGTCCAGGTTCTACTGAGGATAGAGGATAGCAGGCACCAGTGGTTTGGGAGCAGCAGATCCTCTGTTAGTCTTGTCGCGTCCCCTCCTCAAGTGTCTCCTTCCCTTATTTGTTGCCGAGTAGGGGGGGTCGCGTCCCCTTTCTCACAGAAAAGCAAATGCACAAAACACTCACGCACAGTCACACAGACACGCTGTATGTTACAAAATAACACATTTGTCTTTATCCTTCGATTCTTTCTTGGCTTTGCGCTCGCTGCTTGAGGATTGTTTTCCCGGGCTGGCCGTGGTTCCGGCTGCTGCCGCCGTCCCTGCGCCGCCTGCTGCTCCTCCTCCTGCACCTCCTCTGTCTAACTCGTCTACCTCAGCAGGCTCCTGCTGGCCCTGCTGCAAGAACACAGCAAGAGTACACAGTTACAGATAAGCGTCTTAAAAGCAAAGCTAATGGTTGTTCTTCAAAAAAAAAAGAAAAGTAAATGTGAAATAATATTGTAACAAAATACCTAATAAGATATAACATAACCCCAGAAGGGTCAGGCTCTGTTTTTATATTTTATATTTATATTTTTTAATATTCATGATTTTATTATTTTTAAAGAGAGACAAAAAGGAACAAAACTGGAGGGATATGCTTTTGTTTCTTTCCTCTTTTGCCCTATTCTGATCTTTATATTTTTTTATACATAAACATTACCTATGCAAGAAGAAGGTGTAATAACTATCCTTTGAAAGATAATGTCTGTGGGATGACCTCACACTAAAGGATGACATCATCTAAAACAGAAAAATACAAATAATCATCCCTTTTCATCCTCAGTTCCCCCTTTATAGCTCAAACCTTCTGATGCAGACATCCACCTGTTTCCGAAACACAACATCCTTCCCTCTGTGCTACATTAAACACCCCAGATTTGTTGTAAGTCTACCTTCCACTCCCTCTCCCGCCTGCTTCTGTCTCCTCCAGCCCCTCCCTACCTGTGCCTGTGCTGCTGCTGCAGCCGCCTGCTCCTGCTCTTGCTCCTGGTAGTACTGCGATGCTCGTCGGTCCTCTTCTTCCTGCAGCTTTTTGGCCAGTTCCAGGTCGCTGATGCCTTCTGGGAGTTGCTCCCACTGTAGATCCTGACTCTGCTGCTCCTGTTGCAACGACAGGGCCATCAGATAGTCCTGACACACATGAGCAGGCACAAAGCGAGCAAGAGAGAGGGAGAGAGAGAGAGCGAAAGAGACTTAGTGAGCTACGAGCAAAGCTGTCAACGCTTTAAACTGCAATAAACTATGCTATACAAAATAAAGGCTATTTATGTATTTTTCATTCATTTTCATTTGCTGTCCTATCTTCTTTATAATCTATAGTATGAGTTGTGTTGTAATTTACAAAACCTCCTTTATAATGGTGGTATCCATTTATGCAGTGTACTCTATTTTGTCGTATACTGTCACCGCAAAGACCCAATTTCCCAACTGGAATCAATACAAGTTTTCTTCAATCTGACTGAAATGATTATAAGTGCAGAAAATTGAATAAAACTGAATAGATTTTTCTCACCAACCCTATCTTGTAGATAAAGAGGTCTGAGCCTGAGTATAAAAAGTAAAAGCCCCCATGCTCTAATCTAGTCTGTCTGTCATGTTTGGGAGCCGCTCAGCAAGCTCTGTGTCTCTGGACCAGTCTGGCCGACAAATGAGCAGACAGCTGTGAAACAACACAAACATTCCCAAGAGACACAATGCATTAAGGGAAAGTTTGCAAAGTGTATGGGAAAGCCCTATTATGTACTTTTCAGGCTGTAATATGTGTGTGAGTGAAAAGCTGAAATTGGGAGCTATAGCACATCAATTATTGAGAAACCATGTTTCCATTTTTTTAGTCTTGAAGGGTGGACAGTGGATTTTTATTGTTATACTTAGTTTTGTTTTGTTGTGTCTCTCCTGTCCACTGGTTCTTTTTGAATGTCTGTAAACTGCAAACTGCATAAGACCAAGATGGCCAGTATGACATGATTGATCGTGTACTCTGTCTCTGCCTTTGTGGCATGAAGAGCAATGTCATGGTAAAGCATATCATGGTTTTCAGAGTGGATAATTGCTGGTTCTGCTAGTCTTGCCTGCCACAGTGCTCAGACCTGGTCTATCTGATCCTGCTGTCCTCGATATACAGTCTCTGGATCAGAAGGAGGTCGCAACCGGAACTCGGAATCGCAGAAGTTGCCGTCTCCGTCAACATTGTGTAGACTCTCCCAGACTACCTTCTCTTCCGTCAGGAAACCTTGATCAGTGACCAGGAGGTACAGCTGGCCCTAGTAAAGCAACCACAAACAGTACACATTACACACACTCAACTTGACAGTGTCACAGTGTGCAGACACTGTACACACCCACACATGTATACATAGTGGTTTAGTAAGTGTGACTGTAGATGAGTGAATACAAGAGAACATAAGCTGTCATGATAAGTTATCTGGGGGTAAGAGGTGATGCACAAAGCTCTGCTGACATTGGCAGCTATACAGCACTTTCCACAATATATCCCCTGAAGATAACAGGATAGGTCTGCTCTGATACGACTAGAACGCTGTGGGCAAGGGCTGATGGAAGGCATACACGCATGCCCTGAATTAGGTAACTATTAGACTCTCAAGATTGGTCAAATATTTTAAATCTGTTAAAATTCCCACATAGTTTTTTTCCCCAGTTTTAAGAGCATGCTATTAAATATCTGTTTACAGAGCACTATGGAAAAATATTGAAGAGAACAGGAAAAGTACTGGAGGCAGATTGTAACACTTGAAGCTGCATACTGGCTTTTGTTCGCTCCTCTTTGGGCCCAAAAACAACCATCTCAGTTTTGTCTTGGTTTGACTGAAGAAAATTATGGAACATCCACTCATTGATTTGTTCATTGCATCTACCTAGCACTTGTATGTCGAATATTGTGTCATCAGCGTAGTTGTGTTAACTTACTTTGTTGTTTTCTATATTCTGAGCATGTAGATGTTAAACAGAAGAGGCCCCAGGATAGAGCCTTAGGGAACTGTACTGTACTGTATTATGGTCAATTGTGTGAATGCCAAACTCATATCCAGTGGTAATATTTTTATTTTTATTTATTTAACCTTTATTTAACCAGGTTGGTCCCATTGAGATTAAAAACCTCCTTTTCAAGGGAGACCTGGCCAAGACAGGCAGCAGAAAAAACACAAAGTTAAAGACGGAAATAAAAAGAGAGCCAAAGTACAATTTACAAAGCACAACATTTTGGATTAAAATAGAGCCATCTATGAGTCATATCTGGGACTCAGTAATAAAACTGAAGTTAAGCCAATGTCTCTGTTTAAGCAGATGTCAATAAACACCTTAACAACAGCAGTTGTGATACGATCCTGACTGGAAAACATCAAAGCAGTTGATAAGTGTCAATAAGTTATTTAACTGTTAAAAAACAAAAAATTCAAGTATTGTTGCTTATAAATTAGATTAGGTAGATTTTATTTAGGCCTAAAAATGGTTCATTATTGACTTGTCTAGGTTGTTCTTTTTCAACAGTGGATGATGACTGCTGTATTTAGGGCCTGTGGGAAGACACCTGTGAGAAGTTTATCATCTGTAACAGATCTGACAGGGTTTTTATCTCAAAGACACAAAATAGAAAAGTCTGTTCAAGATTGCAAAGATAGTTTTGCCTTTATCTGCATACACATCAGCAATGCGACAGACAGAAATACACCATTACATTGTAGGGGCTTGTATAATCCTTATTAATTTACAATTTTACATACAAGCCACAGTAACTATCCTGTGGAAGCAAAGGGCTTCCATGTAGTTTTCAGTTTTGACTCAGGGACACATCCTGACCATTAAGATTCCCAATCTGACTTTTGCAAATACCCACCATAACTGTTAAGATGCTGTCATTACTATTCAATTCTGACCTTGTATTTGATCATGGTGCTGAAATGGTTATTCCTGAAAAAGACACAGAGCTCTCCCTCCTGCACAGTGGATGTGAGCTCACATAAGCCATGATAGGTCAGCTGTGTGGCTGTGCTGCTCAGAAACTGCTCTGCAACGATGCCTGGGACGAAACATGCAGGGAACAAAAAAGATATTCAGTTTTAGAAAAAAGCAAATCAGAAACATGGATAGAGGATAGACTTGATGATGATATTTCATTGTATCGTTACGTCCCTGTTTTTGCAATTCAAAATGGATTTGAAATTGTGTGATGATACTTTTATTTTGACACGAGAGTTGATCAGCGAGAAACTAAACTTGTTTTGAAAACAACCACTAATTTAGTTAAGGGGGTGCAGCGTTTCATTTGTTACTCAGATACAATCTATTTTTTGGTAAACATATTATTTTATGGTTGGACAAATGGATGAGTCATCGCTCCATAATCAACAAACAAGAATGTCTGACTCATAATGAAGGTGGGTCACTATTTGGAAAGCATTTGGGAAACCCTACTGTCATGTGTGTAGTAGCTGTTTGAACATTCAGACTCTGAATGTGCTGCTGGAAGCGGTTACTATAGTGAACTCAATATAGGCTGAGAGGCAGATGGTGAGGGACATCTGTGAGACAGAACAGCATTTAGTTTGGAGCCCACATAATTGTGTGATCCTCAAACAGACAGAGGAGAGAGGAGCAGCCTGGCCCAGAAAGAACCACAACTTTTATGGAAAGATTGAAAAGTAACTATTGAATTGTTGAAGTTGAATATTTTAGGATATTAAAGCATTAGAACTGAGATGTTTATTTCTCTCAGCGTTACATAAGTGCATCAGCATCAACTATTTAAATCAGGTCCTCAAAGGAATTATTCTAGCCTACAAAAGCAGAAACACAATGAAAAAGGAGTGAATGCCAGTATCAATATGACCATCCACTAAAGCTTTGACGTGTTCACTTGGCATCTGCCCAGCTGAAAACTACTCAGGAAGCTCAGTGTTGAAAGAGCAAATGTTTTGAGTGAAGTTAGTGACAGCTGGCAAGAAAACCGTGAGCTGTGGAAGTAGGTCATTAGATGAGTGGTCACATGTATGTCCTGGTTTTATTTCAGTCTGTCCTTTGGTTTTCTGCAGAATGCATTCGTCCTAGACAGTCCAGTTAACATTTCTCAAGTAGTGAATGTGTGACAGAGTTAATATTATACCTGTGCCACTAAGTGAAAGGGAATACAGGATGTTGTTTCTATTTCCCTCTGCAGTGGGATTAAAGAGAAGTGAAGGGAGAACACCCACCTTCCCCTGCTAGCTCACTGTTCTCAGACTGTTTGCAGGATATTATCTTCTCCACCAGCTGGTTGTAACTGCAATTGCCCACTGCCTTGACAATGTCATGCATCTGCAAACAAAAGATAAAAACGTTGGGAAAGAACATTCACCGAGCTGTATTCCTGAAAGTCAGAGTGCAAAATGTATAACAGAGTAAAAGTCCAAAAGTAAAAGAAGAGAGCTTCATTCTGAAACTACTATCACTGCGTAGACTTGATTCTTTGAGTTCACACAACTACACTGGACCGCATTTAAGCATTCATTCTCTTTATTTAGGGTTGACTGAACTATCATTTTGACTTGACAAAAAACAAGAACACACAGACCACATCCACAGGACAGTGTATCAGTAGAGATGAGATTAGAATGAATTCAAAAAACAAAGTACTATTCATCTTTCTTCATTAAAATTACAAAGTAGAAAGTGTCAAGGAAAGGCTCTCCTATGTAAACATCCAAAATCTTTTTGTCAACATGACAACATGTTTATTTGGCAGACTAAGCATACTTGACAATTTTAGACTACTGCATTTTATAATGAAATTCATTAAATAAACAATTTATTTTTCAAACTATTGAACAGCAACAACTGTCCACCCTACATGGTTCATGACTTCTAGTTTCCACACTATTAAAACCTTATTCTTTCTTAGCTATTTATGTCACTCAGGTAGATTAATAAACCCATAAGAAGAAATAAAGTTCAGTAAACTCAGCGACCAGAGCAGCCTGATGTAGAGCTGAGGAAACATTAAAGGGGTACCTGTAATTAAATATCGCTTCACCATTACAGCATTTAAAAAAAAAAACAGACAGCTGCTCTCAGAACAAAAATGAATATAAAGAGTTACAAGGATAAATTGAGGAAAGTAAAAAAACAAGTTTATTTCAGGGATGTGGAGAGAAACAGCAGCAGCAATCAGTCAGGTCCAGCTCACCTGGGGGTCAACCAGCCAGCCGTGGTAGAGAGGGATGTCCAGCAGATCAAATACGATGCATTCTGGGGTGTACTCGAAGACTCGCACCCCTGTGAACTTGACATTCACATCCAGACCTGTCTGCAGCTTGTGCAACACTGCCATGGCATCGCTCATGTTCTGGGAAGCACAGAGAACAGAGGGTCAGATCTTGGTTAAAAACTGCATGACGACTAGTGCTACAGAACGATGGGACCATTATACAGAACCACACACTGAATCCAATCCAGCTGTTTGCATTTACTGTGAGCTGTCTCATTTGAGGTTGAAGTTGTTCCCGCTTGTCTGCACACAGTCATCAAAGCTACAGAGATAGACTTTTCAGTCTTTATTAGTAGCCATTAGCTGCTGTTTATACAACACACAAAAAGTGCTCGCATTTACTCATAACTTGTCCATTCTCCTGCCTTACTGTATAGTAACTCCACTGACTTTTAGTTTTCTTGTTTTCATATTTACTGCACTTATTATGTTACGCTCTGCTTACTGTCAATCAGCCTTCAACCACAGGGAGAAATACACGTCTCTGCCAGGAAAGCATTTGATATTACATTTCTGTGTAAGCTCTCAGGCGTATCATTGGGAGTCATGATATAATATGACATAATAGCTCTGCTTTATTTCCTTGTTAATTGTTTAGCACCAATACACCAATACACACATTAAAACAAGACAGTATTAGCCATTACATTCTGGACAGTCAGTGGTTTGTGATATAGATGTGTAGTGTATGTAGCTGTACACATGGCAGGTATTGTTTGCCCCGAAACAAAGCCTTGAGGCATGAAGAGGCCTACAGTAGGTTTAATGTTTTATCTTGATACACCAACTGAGAACCAACCTCAGAGCCAGAACACAAAAAGAACTGCTCTGGGTTATATTCAGCAGAATCATCCAGGGAACCCCAGACTCAGACCTCCAGACCTGTTTTGCAGCAGCAGCCTGTTCAACATTTCTGCCAGTTTCAAATGATTGCTGCTTGTGCTTGGTATGAGTATGTAATGCTATTATACGTTTCATCCTACAAAAATTGCTGTCTTTTTTTATTTTAGTTTAACAAAGACACTGGGAACATATCGCTTTACTTTGCATGGTATGTCTTTGGCCTTCAGCAGTCTTTCTAAATCTCTGCTGCCAATTCTGCATGATTAAACAGTTGTTGAGTATGTTAAGTGACATTGTGTTTTCTCCAAAATATAACGACTTTACTGCAACTTCTGCTTTCCTTTTATATCAGCTTTTATGCTCTTGAAAATGAACAATGGTGTCAGTAACAAGTTGCATTAAAATAATCTTCAATGATGATCTTCATTAGGCTCTGTGGGATATAATACGTTTTATTTTGTTTGGTTCTCCAATAATCATGGAGAATGAAGACACTGTCATGCAGATTTTTTTTCTTTTTATAACAATGAAAAATCATTCAACTGTGTCGCTGTGTCGTGTGAAATAGACAAATCTGAACACAGAAATATTCACCTGTAAGATGTTGTTCTCATCTCTCTTAGTGTGAGAGACTGAGTTCAGTGGTCATATACAAAATTATACAAAAAAAAACAGATTTTAGGATTATTTCTAGGTAAGAAATAACAGTACACTTTGCTTTGCCTAAGTTTTTTTTTTCTTTAGAGACATTGCTGTAGTGGAACTGATGATTCGTCCTGCTTATATCTATGGCTAAAGAGGTAAAGGTTTTATTAGGATAAAGTTATTAATTTCCGTTGAACAGGCTCGCGTACCACTACCAATCGTCCTTTCATTCTATCTGCAGAACGACCTTTTACTGCACTGTGTTAGAGAATGTACTCTACTCACTTCATGTCATGCACTCACACACCTGAGAAACAAACAGACTCATTCTTGCATTCAGCCTCTGAGCACTGTTTCCCAGCTGCCTCTGCACTCTGCTGCCATTTAACTCTGAGAGCAAGATCAACCTTGCAGCTGAGCCCCACTACTCTGTTGCAAGTGTGTAGTTGTAACGTATAACTATTAGATTTCAACTCAAGCGAGAGAGAGAGAGAGAGAGAGAGAGAGAGAGAGAGAGAGAGAGAGAGAGAGAGAGAGAGAGAGAGAGAGAGAGAGAGTGGAGACACAAGAAAAATATCCAAAAGCAGAAAATCACTACTCACACCAAATTACCCCGACTCTTAAACTGCAGGTTTGTTTGCAGTTTCACTAAATGTAAACAGGACTGAATGACAATTAGTGATATGAACTTAATATTTTTTATGCCTAGAGAGGAAAACAACAATAAAATGGGCACCAGCTGGCCTAGCAGGTAGTTTGTTTTGCCCCATAAACAAAGGCTGTTCTCCTCAAAGCAGGCAGCGCAGGTGTAGGAGCCATTTTAGTGTGTGTGTATTCATGTGTTGTATTTCAATGGGTTTGGTTTATATGTTGATTTGTTTACTTGGTTTGGACACTAGGTGGTGATGGTTGATGATTTGGGTTAATTGGTCAGGTGGTATGGTTGAGTGTCTATAGGTCATGGTGAGCAGGAAATCTGGGCATAGGTGGTGGGAACATACGGTTCCTACTTAACATAACAAACGAACGACAACAAACATCTATAAATCTCTGCATTAAGAACTCATCATATCATAATCACGGTTTGTCTTTGCTTGATACGTTACAATGAACGGGAACTTCACTAAGTCATTTCATTTTGGACATTTGTTTATTTTTACGCATCAAGACCTTTTCATACCCCTCTGCAAGTGACTAAAAGCTCGATTAGAAATTTGGACATTAGGTAGTCACTACACCAGACTCCTTTCCCACATGTCATTCCCTACTTTCTCTCTCTCCATGGTTACCGACTTTATCCACTGTCCTATCTGAATAAAAGGCATAAAAAAAGCCTTAAAGGTTTATTCAGCTGAAAAAACAACAACAATGACATGTTACAATATCAGACATTTTCGAACACAGCACTGGATTGATTACAGCAGCAGATACTGTACGTCCCATTAGCAGCAAGCTACTCCAGTTTGCTGTTTTGGTGTGTACATCCGAAGTGAAAAGCCCGCAGCTGGCCCCTCTGAGTGTGTGGATTAGGACGCTTGTGAGCGGCAGTGATGGCAGGATTAGCAGGCTTGTGTAATGGACCACTTCTCTTCACTTTAGGGGCAGAGGGCTCCGACAGCAGATGAGCGCTTTGAGATCAGCTGATTAGCACTGAATCACTCACATTCATCTGTGCTTATGTTGGATACATCTCCGTAGTACAACATAAGCACAGAACACTGCTGAGGCTTTTTCTGTGTTCTTTTTTTTCACTCTTCAGAGTAAGTGCCTGAAGGGAGAACCCCTCTGCTGCAATATTTTTTGTTTATGTTCATGAAAAGTTCACCTCGTCAAATTCCTGAGTAAATGTTGACACATTCAGCCAGATATAAAACTATAATGAAGCCTCACCCTACAGCTGCGTTAACGAAAAGAGTCTGATTATTTTCTCAGTTTTTGGCATTCTGAGATAAAAACTAAAACTTTTCTCCTATGCAACACATTTTTGCTAAGAAATGTGTACTAGAGGCAGAACTGTTTCATTTTGTCATGTGACTGGTAATTGTGATTCACATGCCTGTAAAACTACGGTATACACACACATAATGTAATCACACATTAGTGAGAGCTGCAAATAATGAACGTTTTATGTGACTGGACCTTTCCACAATGTGGGTCATACTTTCATGAATCCTGCCACACTCATCAGCAGCTGCTCTACATTTTGGTTGGATTAATCATCAAGCTAATCTAATGTTTCGAATGTTTGTCAGCCCCTATTCCAATACATTAGGAGGACGGACCAGCTCGGAATATAATGCAATAATCTAATGATTTACATCCAGCAAAAAGATGGATTCAAGAAACATTTGTGAACAAGCCCAATCATTGTGACACCTGTACTGAAAACAGGTTTTCTTACACATGATAACGCCTCTCCTCCAGTAGTTGAACAGTGGGTATGGAGGAGATGCTTTGTGAGAGTGCTGGGTCCACTGAGATAAAAGCCGAGCAAAACTACACTCTCACTTCCACCGCTCCGCCAAGTAAATATTTAACAATAGCTAAAGAACAGCAATGCAGCTGCTATTTTAATCCTCACACACTCCTGCGACAGATGATGTTTTTTTGGCTGAGTTTAAAAATAGAACTTCCTCGGTTGTGATCTCCAACAGCTCTTTTCTAAGTCAGTCTGACTTCAGTTGTGTCTTACATAGATCCAAAAGGCAGCAAAGGAACATTTCTGCTGGGTATATATATATAAGAGGACACCTTTAGTTTTATAGGACACAAACACATTGCATATCTTAGATAGCCAGCTCCCGCTGTAGTCTCCACATCCTGTGTCACCCACAGAACACGGACATGAGGACACACACATGTTAAAGAGCTCCCAGGCCAGTGTCCAGGATTAGACTGCCATAATAACTATGCAACACAAACTTCCAACCACTCCCTTACTTTAACTGTGCATGCCGAAGACACCACTGATATATTTAAGAGCTTGTATTTCAGCGCAACTTAAATTTAGAACAAACTCAGCCATGACCGTATATAAGAATACTGCAAATTATTTTACCTGCTCTCTAAAAGGCGGGACAAGTGTAGCGTCAAATCATTCACAGATGTGCTGGTGCTCTGCCACGCAAGGGGAAAGGAGGTACAGCCTCTCTCTCGCTCCACAGGCAGGCAGTGGAGATGGGAGGAAGCAGGCGAGCTGCAGCTCCATCTCCATCTCCAAGTGCCTCTTACGGTGAGCCACACACACATCCAAACATAGAAACCCGTGCATGAACACACCAACAGCCTCAGTAATAGCCAGGAGCTGAACCCAGCCATGCGTCTCAAAGCATTCACAGCCATGTGAAACAACATAATCTGACACTCCTGACCCCCTGTTTGTATTTCCTAGGCCTTGCAAGACACATCTTATGTAACCTATAGAGCAGTTGGGGGGGGGGGGAAAGATAAGCTGTAGTTTATGGGGTTTGTAATCAACTGGATGCGTATTTCCATTTTATAGCACAATCAGCTGACCTTCTCTGGTCAATCTCAACGCATACACATGCACACTCGCTTCGCTGTGAGCATGCTCCAGTGTGCAGTACATCAGAGCAGTGTGTGCGTCACTTTATATACTGTAGTGAATATTCATTAATGACAGTAAAAATGGCGGCAATATTTTGAGTTTGCAAAGAGACAAAGTGAGAGCTCAAGTTAAACATAGTCAATTACGGGGTATACACAGAGAGGGAGAGGCAGACAGAGAGATCATCCCAAAAGCCTTGCATCCCTGCAGCAGCTTATTAATACACACACAAACAAGCGAGAACACATGCTCGCTAAACGCTAAATAATATTATTCAAAGCTGATTGAGCAAGCCTCACCTGCTCATAGTTTAGCCGCTGGGCTTCCGATATCTCTTTAGGCTTGGTTTCCAGAATGTAGTCCCCTGCAGAGGAACAGAAGGAGAGAGACGTTGCCAGACTTATATTGTTGTGACAGAAAAACAAGAGGGGTAGAACTGGCCAGCTGTTTCCTCTGAATACGCTGTGCCAAATATGTAGAACCAGCTGAGTCCCTGTCCACTGTGGAATCACCTGAAGGCTTCATGGCCACAGTTCTGTAGCAGCATGACCTGAAGCAAGCAGCACAGTTTGGCATGGTACCATGCTAATACAATCCTTCATTCTTCTCTATTTTCAGAAACATTCAACATTTGGCATAGACTGAATAACAAATCAATGAAAATGAATTCTTGTTATCGCTGTCAAAAGCGTGATTGCAGTCTACTTCTTACTCGCAAAACTCTTGTGCAAGTATTTTTCAGAGATGCTTCACAGAGACTCTTTAATGTATAAGGAACTGGCGAGCGCATCACGCTGGACTGTCAACACACACTTTTCCAGTGAATAACTCGGAGATCTGCCATCAACGTCCTGTCATCTATAGCTACATTAACTTAAAACAGCTTGCATGAAGCAAAGAAAAATCGTTTTGAGCTGTACTAGTGTCAAATCCTTAAACCCCTACTAGGAGTATAGTAATTTATTACAGTGTGAAGAAAAAACGTATTTCATTTTCTATGAATGGTACAAGTTAGCACGCTTAATGATGATAATTAACTGAACTCTTATTTATGTAGCAATCTGGCTCATAGTGTCTTTGTAGCTGTGTTTGTATGAGCAGCGTTTTAAAAAGAAGGAAGGGGAAACCTCTCACTGCTATGGACTGCAGTACTGAACTGTTCACTCCTTCAATATTTGTTTCCATCTGCCTCTATGGGCCCACATCACTGGCATGCTCTACTACTGAGTGATCAGCACCACCCACTTTTAACACAACAGCTAAACTTCGTCACTCTTGGTGTTTGTGTCTAGGTGCTATAAACAACATTGCTAAGTTAAGAGTGTGTCGAGCATCCACAGAACATTTTACAAGATTCACATGTGACAAAACATAAACGAGCACTTTTGGGGGGGGGGGATGCAAACAGTGAGAAAATACTTGTCTAAAGTGTCTTAATTATGTAAGCATGAACTGACTTGAGAGCTCTCTATTTTGATATTGTAGAGTAATTTGAAATATGAAGGGCAGGATACATCCAGAGAGAAAAGATCGCACTGGTTTCCTATCCAGCAGCAGATTGGATCACAGGGGATTCTCAAGTTCTGCTCTCTTCCTCTGTTCACTCTGGTATATATATCTGACCTTTAAGTACGTTAACAATCATCTGAGAGGATGTGAAACACAAGAATGTTTATCAGGCTATTACTCCGGCCAATTGTAAATGCAAGCCAGCATGCTATAATTTTGGTAAGTTACATTATAAATGTGTAATATTCTGCATATAAGCATTCAGTGTTGTATTGTTAATGTGGAGCCATATGAAACAAGCCAAGCAGAAGTGTGCCTGATTCCATGAGGTGGCATAATAATAATAATAATTTCATTGTTCCCCTTTGATCAATAATGTGACATCAACGTGCTCTTATGTAATCTGTTTAAACTCTCACCAAGATACTCCATCAGTTGCTCAGCAGTGATAATTTCCATCATGGGAGGCATCTTAACCTGCAAGAGACATATTGACACCGGCTGTCCATTAATTTGTTCCCACATACACGACCGAGAACTGCAAAATGTACTGTTGTGGTGGGGGCTTTCACGCTTTTATCTTGTTGATAGTTAAGATTGCCCATTGTGTGATGCTTAAACATCTTGTCTTGTTTTATGTGGATCCAAGGAAGAGCAATTGCTATTGCGGAAAACCCGAAGGATATCCTATGTAAGTAGATAACTTAACACAAGTCAATCGATGTGCTAAGGTTTGACAATATCTCATAACTCTGACAGATATATATATATATATATATATAATGCTGACATGAAGGGGCAAAGGGTTTTAGTAAAAGTTATCTTTCTAGGTTGTTTGTGATAACAAGTATTAATGATAATTGTAAAAATAAGCCTTTCAAATTTCAATTGTGCTGATATAGCCCAGAGAGCCATTGATCCATGCTTTTACCTTCCATGCAAGCAACAGGACGTTCATAATTGCCAGTAATGGACAGGGACCATTCTCGTTCTGGGTGATGATCGGCGTGTTCTCCTCCCTCCACTTGATCCACTTAATGTGGTATATGGACTGGCCGGCGGCCCGGTCCTTAGCGCACGCAGTCTTTGTTCCATCGGCCCCGTATTCGTTCTTCAGGGCCAGGGCCAGTCCTCCGTCCTCCAGCCCCTCACTGTTCAGGTCGGAGCTGGGGCAGGAGTTCAGGTTGGAGAAAGACTCGAGTGAATCTATGCTTCTGGACTCTCCTCCGAGGCTGGGATCGGGGTCACTCCCACTCGGCAATCCCTCCGATAAGGTGTGCTCCCCGGACAGTCCAGACTTGCCGTGCGCTGTGGTTACATTGTCCGGACAAAGATGAGTCGGTTTGACAAGTTTTGTCGATTCACTTTCTCCACAAACCAAAACCTCAGCCTGCACATCTGTAATCTCCTTAGAGGGAGGTGAGGACGGGCCGTCGGGTTTGTTGTTTACTAACTTTGAGGCACCACCCTCGCTATCTCCTACACCCAGCAACGAGTTATGCCCCATCCCGTTACTGATCCGATCCCCGGACCCCGACAACGATCCGCTAGCCTCAGTGTCCTTCTTCTTCTTGTCCTCCTCCTCCTGCACTGAAAGGACTTCGATCACCTCTGTCAAGTTAGACTTACCAGCACTGGATGTGACATTAACAGCGCTAGGAGTACCAACATTTGTGGTGCTGTTATTGCAACTAACGTTAACCAAAGTACTGAGAGCAGCCTCACTATTCTTGCATTTCTCGGCTGCTCCTTTCACTCCTCCAACAGCCGAAACATCGCCCATCTTGCCCGCAATCGTGGCACACAACGAGCTCCCATCAGTGTCTCGATGCAGGTTTGCATTTTTCTCCATTTTGATTTGCAGGCTGTCGACAGATTTTAGCTAAATTTCAGCAGCAGCTTCGGTCCCAAAGACGCCATGACAACTCTGCGAGTGACGTCATCCGAGTGAATTGCTTTCAGGCCGAGCAGGAGCAGGGGGCGGTAGACAACTATCGGCGAGGCGGTGGTGCGTTTGGTGACGCTCGTATTCTTAACTTTCCTAAGTTTCTCACTCTAATAAAGAAATTATAGGCTGAACAATTCGAAGAATTCACTTAACTAAGTTATGCTATGCTATATTAAGACTGTAATTACTAGATTAAAATGTCAACGGGTATATTACCGTCATTAAAAAGAAACAAATTTAATTCTCGTCCACCGTTCAAACAAAAGTTTAGCCATTTGATTTTCCCCAAATGCATGTTTAATCAATATCTATCTCTGAGAACCTTCCACAGGCTATTCTTTCGGTCTTAATCCAGACCACCGTTTATGTCCAGAAAACGTAGAAGAGTTCAGGATTTGAAACATGTTCTTAGCGGGAGGAGGAATACAATTTGTAGCTTTTTACACACATTTGAAATCGACGAATGAAGAAGGCTCTTGTACGAGGAAATGTAAGGCGCATGAACAGAACCCTACCGTGCCCGTGACAGTTTTGCGTGCGAGTGCCCGCGGACTTGTGTCTCGCGTTGATAGACTTCTTCACTACTCCAGAGACAGGCGACTTGTTTGAACCACATGTAAAGGTTGAGCATTTGAAAAAAGAAATGTTTTATTTTTCTAAACAGATGCGGAATAGTGTCTAATAATTAATTAATTGTAAGAAATGACCGCCCTAGAATAAATTCATTTTACAAATCGAGTCAATCCACGTGCAATATGTGTTTGCAGCCGCTAGGTGGCAGCAATTACTTGACTGAATAGACTATAAAACATTGACTGAGATGAGTAGGCGATTTATGAATCTCTCTTCATAGAGTTTCATAGGCAGATCTGTTTATCAAACTATAAAATTCTCCATCCATCAGAACGCAAATCCCTTATCGTATACCTAGGTAGTTTTGGACAGGTTACAGTACGCTGATAGTGCTCCCAAGGAGAAGGATGTTGGAGTTTAATTTTACCTTCATACATAAAGGGTTGAATTGACTTTGGCTTAATGTTTTAGTCATCAATATGGCATATCTATTAGTGCAAAATATTTTAACACTTTGAAAATACAGAGTTTGCATCCAAGAAAGCCAGTCAGTACTAGTAGAAAGCCTGCCTTTGACAAATGAAGCACTTGAGCTGCTGTGAGTGCAGAAACACAGAGGGAACAGTAAGTCGCTGAGAGGATCATAACCACATTCTTCAATATATTTGTTCAAAGGCTATTTGATGAAGTGGAGACCTCTGACAATATTGTGACTAACACAGGAAACAAAACCAGTAAATCAATGCTCAGGTCATTGGCTTACTCAGGCTGTTTGAAGGGCAGGGACGGGGAAAAGGCACCATCTGTATGCGTGTGTGTGTGTGTGTGTGTGTGTGTGTGTGTGTGTGTGTGTGTGTGTGTGTGTGTGTGTGTGTGTGTGTAGACAGACAGACAACATTTTTTTTTCTAAATATACATTTGAATTCTACATGCTTAACAATGCTCAGGGAGAACATTCTTCCACACAACTTTCATTCATAGTGAAAGACTATAGATAGTCTGCTTGGCTTTTTTTAAAGATAAATATTAAAGTTAAATCAGAGGGAAAATACATCAGGGATAAAATCAATTAACTGTCCAAATTGATGTCGAACCAGAATCAGCTTTATTGACCATGTGTCCTTACACACAAGAAATTTGTCTTCGGTGAACTGAGCTCTAAATGTACAAAAAGTATAAAATTAAATATAAACATAAAATAATCAAAGACTAATATATAAAAGGCTAAGCTGTAGACTATACCCTTCTGCACACAAAACAAACAAATCAAAGTAATAGTGACGAAAATGTTTTAATTTAATTTGTACAACCGTTTTTTAAAAATACTTCTACATAAAGTAGTAATTTCTTGAATATAATTCATTTTGTATGGTCTCTCCAGTAGGTGTTTGCCCTTCATGTAACCTCATCAGCAGGTTATTAAAAAAAAATTAAAAAAATCCCTCCAAAACAATAAACCAGGAAGTAATGTTTTGCGGAAGTAAACAACTTTCTGTCCGAGCAATAACAGCTGTACAAACTGTAGTTTTCGTTGATTTCAGCATGCTGTTAGCGTAGATATTTACACTGTATTATATTATCATGTTATATTTCTGTTTTGTTTGGTATAGACGTGATTTACAGCTGGTTTGAGACACACATGATCACAGTAGTAAACGGATGGGTGTGCCCTGGCTCTGTTGGCAACGCACGCCGGAAGGGAGGAGGGCCTGTCTGTCGGTGTATCTGTCTGTCTGACGACGGGGTTGCAGCAGGAGACAGGCAGAGCCCGGTGTTTGTGATGGGAGCTCGCTAACGAGGAAGGACGACTATACCTTTAAGTGAAAGAAAAGTCAGAAACATTCAGCCGTGTCGCTGGGTCGCGTTACTGGTTTTATTGGGCTTTAACTGGGACTTTCGATATGATAATTTTTAAAATATTTTTTTTATTTTGCTGCCTACTAAATGTCACAGGTAAGTTTCGCGTTTGATTCACACGGAAAAAGAAAAAAAAAAGTGTTCAGTGATCGCAAGTGAAGCTATCGCTAATCGGATCAGGCAGCTGTACTGTGGCGAGGGTCTAACTTGCTAGCTAGCTGGCTAATGATAATGGTTGTTATAATGGTGTTTACTCGGTGGGGCCAGGTGACGAGGGTTAAAAGTGAAAATAATACTCATGGTTGAGCTTTTAAAATAGAAAAGCCAGCTTGTTTTTGACAAGTCCTTGGGTGGTAACATTACAGACACTTTGAGTGGTACAAGTAACAGAAATGTTTGATAACCAGAAGCTCGGCGTTAGTTTTAGTTTCGCAATCAAATAAATGTTTAACCTAAACTATTGACTACATGTAGATACATGATGTGCTGCAATTTATAACACATCTGTCAAAATCTATTTTTTACTCGCTTTTCATCTGCAGTGACCCAAACTTAATGTTTATTTGGTTTACAAATGTACAAATATTCACGATATTTCGCTGTTTATTTTCACTTTAAGTTGCGTGTCGCTTAGTTTCTTCCTTGTTCTTGACACAAGTCAACGAGCATACAGAGATGTAGTCCCGTCCTGTACCTAACATGGACTGTACCACAGTGTGTCAGCCCTGTCACATACTGGGTCATGTCTTTCAGGACTGGTGTGCTGTACAGTTAACTCGAGTATCAGTAGTTTTAGTTTCCACTTCTCAACAAGCTACCATAGCTCATAACAAGCAGGTCAAAATCCCCACTTTGTGTTCATTAAGCAAGACAAAAAAATCAACGTTAAAATACAAAATAAAGCTTATCGCTAAGGAATAATGACACATTTCTCACTATTCATACAATTATAACTAATTATTCCCATTATAACCTGTGAGAACACTGATGTCACTGAGATTTCTTTGAAATGATGCTACCAGCTTGTGCTCCCTTCTCTCCTGTACCTTACTTCACAATGTGGATTGTGGATGATTTAGTTGTAGGACTAGTCAGAGCATTGTCTCAGATAATTAGGTTATTTACTTTTGGGCCTGCTTAACCTGATAAGGCCTTTTCTGTTCAAATATAGCACGTTTTGCTACAGAGAGCCTGAGTCAGACATTGTGGTTGCAATCTGAAAGAAACCCAGCTACTGCACATTTTCCAGCACTGTATGATACGTAATGTTAAAAGAGATGTCCATGTTGCCTTGAGCTGTTTGGTGTCTGATGTGTGAGCCAGCCTGCCATCGCCCAGCATGCATAGAAATGCAAGGCTCAGATCAGCTGGGATACATGCTGTTACCACCTCCTCTGTTCCTGTCAGCAGTTTCCTCTGACAGAATTGCACTTCCCTGGGTCTGTTGAGGTTAAAACAGAAATAGGACATGAACTAAACAAAACTAGAGATAATTGAATTGAAAACATTTTCAACTGTGTAGACTTAAGTAGACAACACAAATGATTAAATACAATACAATTTAGTAATTTAGTTTCAAAAATAGCATCTTACATTATGTTATCCTCCTTAAAACTTTTAAACATAACAATTGGTAGGCTGACTGGCTGTCCTCTTTACGAGCGTTGCTGTTTGTGTTGGATAGCAACTAACCGTGATGATTTAATTGGCATATATAACTAGTATCAGACATCCTCTTCAGTGTGTAAAATTATATTACACCACACTTAAGTTCATGATCAAAGGTTTTGTTAGATGTGTTGCACTATCCTTGTTTTTGGAGTAACCCAACAATCATACTAAAGCTTCCAAAACCTGTCATGAGGACTTATTCAGACCCATATGTTTACCATCTAAAATAAATGGTCACACAAGTTGCGCTGACAATAACCAGGATGCTAGTGTTCTTATGAAAGAGGTCTTGAAATAAACATAAGGTACTGTCCCTCGTCCCAATTATGCACCATTGGCCCTACTGATACGTTATATAACCTACCCTTAGGCCCTTAGTTGCCAGCATAACCAAAACAGCTATGCCACCTTAAACAGACCCAGGCTGTGTTGATGCGAGCTCCTGGCAGTGACAACGTCGATATAACCTACTGTACCGTCATGAGGGCTTATTCAGACCCACATGTTTCCACCCGAAAATAAATAGGTTAGACCAGTTGCTCTGACGATAACCAGGATGCTAGTGTTCTTGTAAAAGAGGTCTACGTTAAGAAGAAAAACGAATTGTAACTGTAGTGGCTAAATCCATTGAACGTGATCTATAACATCCCAGAAATTTCAGAATGCCTACTAATTCAGGATTCCAGCGATTGTTGTGAAATCAAGCCTTGCGCTGTCATAATTTAATTATTTTTTTAAGTTGTCACATCCCCCTGAGATGACCTATCTGTGCAGTATGAGCTGGTAGTGTATATTTTTTGTACAAAATTAACATATTACTTGATTCATTACAGCCCTGCCCTCTCATCCCGAAGCCACTCATGTTACTTTTCAGGCTATTTTCTTGC